TCTAGTGATCTCTCCAACTTGCTTTGACCCGCCTTCCTTAAACCCGTCTCAAATCTTTATCATATAACTCACTAGGGGTTGGAAGGATTTGGTGTCAAGCGCCTCCCGCCACATCAAAGCTCATAGGTGAGAATAGGTCGGGCGACTAATGTGTGTGCTCTATGGATTATCTGTGGTGGTAGCCTTCAAAAGAGTGCTAGATCCTTTCCAAACGAAAAGTCTATAGACAATTTAAATTGAGCTATAAAGCTCGAAAGGGGTCTATTTTACTTCGCATCCGCAGCCGGTTTCCTTAATTCAGCGATTGCCGAAGAGTCATTGGCTGTGCTCCTACTCCAACACATTGTTGATTCAGAAAATAACCAACGGATCTAATCTTACAGCAATTACGGGGAAGTGGATAGTTTGCGAACTCGCATTGCTCAGCGCGCCTCCCATCCCATCGATAAATTGTTAACCCTAAGCAAAATATCAAATTGTGTGATGACTACGTTCACATTTTGTTCAAATATTTACAAATAATGCCGGATAACCATCTGATCAACGTAAACTATGGCTCTGTGTGTGTAAATTGAAACTTTTAAACGACCACATAAATAAATCAGCTTCGTTTAATTTTTTATGCGTTGTTTATTTGTCTTCCGGTGAATATACAGTGCCGGACAAAAGTATTGGCACAGAGAATTTTTCGCAATTTATGCAAAGTTTTTTATTCTAATTTATTTTCAATATTTTTTAATAAAAATATAGTTCGTACTTCACCAAAAAATATAAAAAATCTCTAAACTTTGTGCAAAACTCAGGAAAATTCAATAAATTTGCATACCAATTTGCAACTTCTTATTCAGATTTTCTAGAGAAATTCTAAGTATGTAGTTTTATAGCCCAACTAATTTTAGTATAACAAAGTGCAAGTTTGAAGTATCTAAAAAATTGCGTTGATTTTTGGACATTTTTTTAGTACAAAGTGTTGCTCATTTTCTCCATACAAAAAATAATTGTCGAACATACCGAAGAACCTGACTGAAAAAAATTGCCAAAAATCAATGCGATTTTTTAGCACCTTCAAGCTTGCACTTTGTTATACTAAAATTAGTTGAGCTATAAATCTGCATACTTAGAATTTTTCTAAAAAATCTGAATAGAAAGTTGCAAATAAGAATGCAAATTTATTGAATTTTCCTGAGTTTTACACAAAATTTAGAGATTAATGGCCTTATTCATAAAAAATAAAGTAGGTTTAAAGAGCTTTATAAATTGACGTTTTCATACATTTTTCAATTTATAAACCTTTTGTAAAGCTACTTTATTTTTTATGAATAATGCCATTAGTTTTTATGTTTTTTGGTGTAGGACGAACTATATATTTATAAAAAATTATCCAAAATAAATTAGAATAAAAAACTTTTCAGATATTGCGAAAAATTCTCTGTGCCAATACTTTTGTCCGGCACTGTATATATATATATTTCCCTTTTGTTTGTGGCGCTCACATATGTATGTATGTATTTTCATTTTAAGTAAATATGTAAACATTCATAGATCAATGACTTATTTATGCTTTGTGGCGAATATCAGTTTGTATAGGCAAACATTTACTTCAATATTTTTATGCAACACATTCTTGTTGCGGTTTTATTCTCACTTTTCAACAGAGGCAACAAAACGGCAGATTAATGAAAAAATAGGCATAACAAATACAAACATATATATGTACATAAGTATGTATGTGTGTTAGGACGGGTCGTGTAATTCTAAGCAAAATTTCCTAAGAAAACCATGGGCCAAAAATCAATTCGGAGTATACAAAATTGCCAAAATTGGTTTCGAAGATGCGAAGAAATGAGAAAATTTTCACTGTTGCACCCTCTTTGGAAGTCTTAAAAAAAGATAAGTGGGAAAATGGATTCCTCATACCGAAAACCTCCACATAGGATGTTTTTATACAAAAATTAAGCACTTCTTTACTACACTACAGCAAAATGCTAAGAAACCTATTTTCGCAATTTGGCCAACTCCAAATTGATTTTAGACCCTTGGATTCTTCGGTAAATTTGCTTATAATTACACGGAGAATCCTTCTGTGCTATATGCGCTTAGTCGAAAAAGTTTCCCCACCAATTGACCCACCCTAATGTGCATATGTGCTCATTTATATATGTAAAGGAAGATAAGAGGCGGGAAATAGTGTAAGTTTCAACCGAAGTAAAAATTCCTCCAACTAGGGATGGAAAATTCCTAGATTATGCTAGGTTAACTTGGCCGATCCGTAAAAGCCTTAAGCAGAGCATTTTTCGGTTCTTAGTTTTACAAGGAATATATAGGGCTATTTAGTCTTAAAGCTGCGTCATAAAGCAGTTTACAGCGAGTTCTAACAAATTTCTAGTCTTTTGGTCGGCCAAACACTAACATACATATGAGTAAGCGCCAATCTATTATTATTTGGTCGGAAACTTTCTTCATTAGGGAGAAGATAGCAGAGCTACGTTACGAAATATCTGTGGACCTTTTCGCCAAAGCCACGGATATCGAAGGAGATAAGGAGATCGCAATAATAGAACCCCAGTGAAGACCAGAAGAATTGAACCAAGTCTAGAAGTTCGTATAACTCGCGGAACTTTACAAAATGGAGAGTTTTTGGCTCGGGCCTTCACTGACAACTAAATTAATTGATAGCAGTTTCAAAGATTACTTTTAGATCTAATTCCGATAAGAACTTAATGTACTTAAAATTGTGTGTTTTGTATCGTCAGAAGGGCTGAAATAAGTTCAATTGCACTTATTTTTCCATCAATGGTTTCAAATCAGCTAATAGTGCTCTTACATGATATGTATTTGCATATCGTCGTTTAAAGTGCAAAACCGCGTATCAACAAAATACAAAACCGCGTATGTGAGGTTGCATAAATTATTTTCTAGAGCGTAAAAACACTCATATTTCAAAATGGTTCTCTTTTTTTTATAAAGCAATCGCATTTCTGGCTAATATATTTCAGGACGAATGGATAAGGCTAGAGCCAAGGGCTTGTGCGAGCAAATCCAATTTTTGGCAGCCAATGTCAGTTACGCGGTTTTGCAGAATGACGATAGACAGAGACAGACAGAGATGGTGAAAACGGCCCCAAGGGCCGGTTGCTCAAAGCCTGGTTGACATTGACATTGACATTGAGTAACCGGCCCTAAGTGAGCTGCGTAATCGTAGGGTTTACTGGGCGGCTTCTACATTACAGAATTTCTTACCTCGGCCGGCCCTCTTACAAAAGAAACATTATTTAATTACGTCTCGCTGTTAAGAAACTTACTTTGGGAGGACCTAAAAAATCTAATTCAGTTTCAATTTTTTTTTTTAGCGCGATTTATGGTATGAGAGCTTTAATACAAATATATAATTGATCCATATTCTAATCCTACACAGCGTACTGGGGATCACCTACTGTGCAACAGGTTAACTTGCAACACGATCGCTACGCACGCGTGCATGGAACTCGGCAGTACGTTCCGAACGCTTTGACATTGACAAATGTTACAGCCGGCCATGATGAGACGGCGTACGTTAGATTGGTCCAAGTAATCCCTCCTTTTAATATTCTTCAGTGTCCACGCAAATTTGTGTTCGTTTTGATAAAAAATTAAAGTACATAACTTGATTTAAAAAAATTATAAAATTTAGAGGTCGATCAAGTCCATTTTAATATTCCAGTGTACGTACACATTGACACATTTAAGTAAACATATGTACATTGAGGCGTATTCTTGTTTTGGTATGAATTGAAAATTTGAAATTTTTGCATAGAAAATGATGGGGAAATTTCATGATTTTCGATTCGTACGAAAACAAGAATATACGCCCCATTATAAACACACATGTTGGCCTTGTGGTCTGGCTGTTGGGGGATAGTTTCCGCTTCGATGCTGCCGTGTTGCGACTTCTACATAATGTTGCAAGAACTGATTGTCGTTACACGGCGCGATCCTCAAATTTAATGCCTGAAGCTATTTTATACCCCTCAAGACTAGAATGCCTCATTCCAATATTGTTGACTGAGAATTAAGGAACTCTAGTTGCCAACAAACCAACTTTAATTGAAATTAATCAGTAACTAAATTCCATGATAATCCCTTGATTTATACTCACCAACTACTTTCGGTAAGCCAAATCAGCTTTCGATTCATTTATTTATTAAAACACCTGGAGGTCTACTCCGTATTGCGATTCGAAAAGCAAATCATTCGGATTCGAATACTTGCCGCTTTGAGTTTGTATTAGTTCGTGTCGCGCCTTTCGAATCGCA